TAATAATTCTGTACAGAAGGCGGGTGCTCCAGGCACATAAGACCTACTAATACATGTTAATTGTGACAATTTATTTTTAAAACATCTGGGGTAAACACAAACATATTTACCAGTTTTAGTCTCGACGCTGTGTAGCTTGGCTCCTTCGTGTGCTAGCTTATTTAGCGATAATATGCATTCATTTTTTCCCTTTTTTTCCTCCTTATCATGCCTATATAAATTATGAAAATAAACTGTCTAATAAAGTTTATTTTCAGTTCTGTTTCAACACGCCCACTCTGCTATACTAGCAGGTATGTTTTTTTTTTATTTCTTGATTTCTTTTTTGGCGGCTGGCAAACAACTGCAAGGTGCATTACCGCCACCTACTGGGGTGGAGTTTTATTTTTATTTATTTATCGTTTTGGAAGAGTCACGTGCTTTGTTGTCACGGCGACTTTGCGAGTCACGTGAACCGTTCCAACCAATCAGAGGTCCAGGGCGTGATCAGCCTCAATCAGTTTAGCACAATGAAAGATTTCCGTTTCCCTTCAGCGAAAGACGATACTACCTTCTCAGCTTGCATCATGATGCTGTAGCTCCTCGTCAGAGAAGCTGATTGCCGTCCCTGCTGGGCGGAAAATACCTCAGGACAGCCTTTGCGCACTCATCATCACAATGCATCCGATCCCTGTGTGCTCCTTTAGTGGTGGAGACATATTTGACTGCATTCAAAGAGGAGATGTAGAACAGTGTATACTTTTCGTGCAACRAGCTCGATCAGTGCTCAAACAGAAAGGTAAGGTCAAATAAAAAAAGAGACAGTGTTTTATTTGATCTGTTTAAATAAGTCTTGCTTCTGAAACTGCAGGAACTTCCTTCTGTATTCCTGTCTGCAGTGTTTAACCTATTCTGGGTGTTTTTTTTTAATGAATTTTGTTTTAATTTAAAAGCCATAATAAACTTTTTTTACGTTATGAGTATAATGCCTTTATTAAATCAGTTTGTTACTTGCAGACATGATGAATCCAAGGCCTCCTTATGTGATTTTTGTCCCACTGCCAGAGCAGGAAACCCAACTCTTGTCAAGCTCCTCTGGTTGTTGGKAGCCTACTTGTTGGCACTGGTCCTGGGATGAAGAGAAGGTCAAGTCGGCTGAAGCAGCTYCAGAGTTTTTTCCCCCATCATCAGCCTGATATGCAGTTCCTTTTTTTTTGTTGTCAAACTCGCAGAAACTTTGGTTCCATTTGAAAAAAGTAAACGTGATGTGCATGTCYTTATTCAGGCTGGGGAGGTTTCAGCCCGCTCCATTACGCTGCCCTCCATGGAAACCGTACCCTGGTGGACTTCTTCCTCAGCAGCGGAGCGGACCCCAACCTGACCAGCGATGCGGGACAGACAGCTTTTCATTTCGCCTGCAGGTGAGCAAGAGCTGAACATTTCAGAGTCTCCAGGTGACACTGACTGGAGGGAGCTTTTTTTGTGCTTTACCGTCAGGCAAGGAAACATCTATATCATCCATAAAATGATGCAACACGGAGCAGATTTACGCCTCATAGACCTGCAGAGGAAAACATCCATGCATCATGCTGTTACTGGGGGCAGCATGTGAGTGGAAGAATTATTACGGCACACGCTTTCGTGCTTGCACGCACTAACCGCTAACTCTTGCTCACCTTTCTAAGAGTTGCAGTGCACTATTTGTGGGAGACGGGGATGTTCCGCTTCTCGGACACAGACATGTACCAGCTGACGCCGCTTCACCTGGCTGCGTCCACCGGCAACATAGACATGGTCCAGTATTTGCTGAAAGACCAGGTGTGATGCTGTTTTTGTTTTTTTAATTTAGAGCAACAAAGATTAGAAAATTCAAACTGTTCAATGCACTCTTCTAAGCTCGTGTAGTCTTTCTAACTTTACCGGTTTTGATTTATTAAAAGTAAATATCTACTCCAGTGTATTATTATCAGCCTGTGCCTTTCGTTAACGTGCACTATTGAGAGAATTCTTCAACCGTGTGCACGAAAACTTTGAAAATAATTTAAGCCTGACGTTGTTCAGTGCAGCTAAAAGAAATGTGATGTCTGTAAACAACGGCTCGCTTTTGCAGCGATGTGCCGTGGATTCGGTCGACCAGCAGGGAGCAACAGCGCTCCACATCGCAGCAGAGAGAGGCTGCGTGGAGGTGTGCTGGACTCTGCTGCAGAAGGCCGGCTGCAGGATGCTTCATCAGAAGAACCACAGCGGCCTCACTCCGCTGGATCTCAGCCAACAGGGGAAAACATTCAGGTGAATCTGCTGCCTTCGACAATATGTGGAAAACATAAAAAATAAAAAAAAAAATCAACGACTTACTGGATACTTTGTCTTTTAAATTATCCAGCAATTTTATTTTTCTATAATAAAAGCCACTCCTGGGATTATGATGATGATTAATATTGTTTTGTTTTTTTTCTTTTTATAGACATCAGCAACTTACCAAACTACTGAGGTGGTACATTAACAAGCCAATACATCACAAGCCCAGAGAATCTCATGGTACATATTAACATGGTCTTTATTAATCAGGCCATATAAAAAAGAAACAGTTATATTAGTAATAGAACTTATAGTGGCCATTTTCTTGAAATATTTAAAAGACAATTGCAATGGGGTAGTTTTTTTTAGGCAGGTAAAATAAGTTAATTGACCAAAACTATGTAGATGTTTTCCTTTGATTTAATCCAAAATTTCCCAGTAACAAACAAACATTGTGTCCAACCACACCCTCTTCTGCTCTGGTTACTAAAATAAATAAATAAAAAAAAACATTCACCCCCACTGCATGCTGGTACAAACAAGTGCACATATTTATGGGTTTCCCAGTTTTATCTAATCTTCACGGTTGAACTAATACAATTAAAATATATAAACTAACGTAATTATTCATGCAAAGTATTACAAGAAAAAGTGAAACTAAATGAGTTAAACTAACAATAATTTCAAATGTAAAAAGCATGAAAAGAGCTCCTGCAGAACCGTTACAATAAGGTGTTTATTTTTGTTTTAAGTTCTGTACTACTGGACGTTGTTCTTTCCGTCTCTGAGTGGAGCAGCCATCCTGCTGATTGCAGCCATGTTGGGGGGTTACGGGGGACTCATCTGTGCGCTCCTCTTCCCTTGGCTGGCCAGAAGCATTTTCACACAGTACCACCGTATGACCACATACCAAAGGTTTGATTTAAAAACTGTATTATGTGTTTGTTTATGAGTTGAACTACTTTTTGAGCTTTCAGATATGCCTTTTTTTTTTCTAGGTTGCCCAATCCGATATACCTGGGAACGCTGCTCGCTGGTTTCTTTCATTCGCTGCTCTGCTTCTATGGGAAAATGATGCCTAATATCCTTAACAGTAGTGACCTCTTGGCTTTTATGCCAGAAGTACGTCATCATCGTCTTTTAAAATGTTAATGTGTTAGTGAATCATGGATTTGTAAAGAACATCTTTGCAGAGCACAATAATGCAATAAAATGTAGCAGTACTTGAAGTTTTGTATTTTTAGGGGCTAGAATTTTAACTTGTGTTGTTTTATGAAACTGTAAACATCTTTTTTCTGAGAAGCGGCGCCATCTGAATGCTTAATCATTTTATTTTGTGTTTTGTTTAAATCAATCAAATTTATCTGATGCAGGCTATTAGCATCGTCTCTTACATGCATCTTTTCAGATTCTTTGGATTTTTCACGAAAAATGTGACATTTGTGTAAAAACGTTTAAATAATTTTCAGTTTTTTTGTTACGAAACTTCAATATTAAATAGACAAAGTATTTGCTTTCCCAATTTAACATCTGCCAGATGCAGTCTCTTTATTAMTATTCATGTTAGTGACCCATAGCTAAATAGACTGTTTTGAGGATGCTCTGATTTTTCTTTTTTGGCTTCTTGTTAGGCATATTGTTTTTAAAGGGGGGGTATTGTGCAGAATCAACTTTTTTGAGCTTTATATCATGTTCTAATGTCATTCCCTCATCAAACGAGGGAATGACTTGCATGTTTGATAAAATCCTGTGGTAGCCATGTGAAGCTATCTAAATGCTTGCTGGTACAAAGCACCGCCTACACAAAGCTCCTCCCTGGAGCTCAGTCTGCAGCCGAGCTCCCGCCCCACAGAGCACCCCTCCCCCAAAGCATTATTGGGAAGACGTGTTGAAGTGGGAGTGTCTGAAATGGTAGGAGGTTCGTAAAGAGACAAAGCGTTTTCATGATAACTGAAGCTAACATAGTTACTTGATTGTGGTAGCTAGCTATAGAACTGAAGTACATGCCTGGAAAATACGCACCCCCACCC